TATTTTGGGTATATCTATACTGTGGAATTAATGCAGTTTGACACCAATAACTGCCATGGCTCCATGGTATGCAATCAGAATTTGTAGTTTGGTAAGGCACTAGCACTGTCTAGCAAAGAAGATTAAAAACCTTGGCAACTCACAGTGTTTCATAGTATTGAATCATGACAATTAAATTGGTGTCAAACTGCATTAAGTTTACATGTAGATGAACTTTATTCACTGGTTTAACTGTTCACTTCTGTATAATAGAAGGCTAGAACTACAGAACTCCTATAATCCCTTCCAACTCTGCAACTTAAGTGTTGTAAAAACATTGCTCGGCTTTGGGTAAGCAATCTTTTGTTCCTCTATGATTTGTGACCAAAAAGCTCATGCAAGTTTTGAAGCACACCAGAATCCCTGCAGTGACTACAAACAGGGGCTTGAATCCAAGGTGATAATGTGGTGCAGAAGAAAGAAGTTATTATGCTACATTGGTCAGGGAAAGGAGGGAATAATAATGTTCCTTATAAAGTAAAGGTTTCCCCTGACATTAAGTCTAGTTGTTTCCGACTCTGGAGGGTGGTGCTCATCTCCATTTCTAAGCGAAAGAGCCTGCATTGTCCATAGACACCTCCAAGGTCATGTGGCCAGTATGATTGCATGGAGCGCCATTACTTTTCCGGCCAGACTGGTACTTATTAATCTACTCACATTTGCATGTTTTTGAACTGCTAGGTTGGCAGAAGCTGGGACTAACAGCAGGAGGTCACCCCGCTCTCCGGATCTGAACCGCCAACCTTTTGGTCAGCACGTTCAGCAGCTCAGTGGTTTAACGCATTGCACCACCAGGGGGCCCTAATGTTCCTTATCCACACTACCATAACTGGTAATATTGTTACTTTTTCCACGCAGCAATAACCTTCACCTTTCTTCTTATATTTTGGGAGCAAAATGCACCGGGAAGCATTTCCAAAGGATTTTTCCCTCCTAAGATTTAGGTCCTTTTTATAACAATGAGTTAAAAAAAGGCTAATATGTAATGGCAGTGATAGAAGAAGCAAGTAATGGGTATAGTAGTGATTCTTGTTAGAAAATGACTTACTTTCCAAACTTGTGGCCCTTGTTTGGACATAACAGCCCTCACTGAGCCATGTAATTCAGGGGTAACCTGGGACACACACACTTTCTCAGAGGTCTTATGAGGATAAAGTGAAATGAGATAAAGTAGAGAGAGAGCCATATTTGCTACCTTGTTTTCACACACACACACACACACACACACATGCATATACATACACACTTTTTAAAGAAATGTAAACTTGCAGTAGAAATTTGTGCAAACAGAGCTGTTTACTTTTTCAGTTTCAATTAATTCTTCTTGATTAAGCACATTCTAATATTCTACCATTGTATTAAGAATGGCTTTATATAATATTTTCCTTGCAAGGAATGCAAGATGTTTACATTTTAAAAGACTAAAGCAAAGAAATATGACCCAGAAAATGGATTACAGATGGCAATATTTCACTTAGACTGACAGTGTGGTACGGTGGTTTGAGTGTTGGACTATGAATCTGGAACCAGGGTTCAAATGCCTTCTCAACCACAGAAACCCACGAAGTGACCTTGAGCAAGTGACATTCTCTTAGTCTCAGAGGATGGCCATTTGAACAAATCTTGCCAAGAAAACACTGTGATAGGTTTGCCTTAGGGTTGCTGTAAGTTGGAAACAACTTGAAAGAACACAAGAACAATAACAACCAATTTCTTTAGAGCTTTCTACCATTATCAGTTCTGTTCAATAAAAGTAGGGGATACATTTGTTGATCACACAGAAAGTGAAAAACCGAAAGACCTTAGCTCATTTGAAGCCTTGATGATGAGAGGGAAAGAGCTGTGATATGATAATAGAGCACTCAGTTTGTATTTTTACTGAACTAACAGCAATGTGTGAATTCTAGCTTTACAAAGGTGTGAAAACCTACAATCATGTCCTTCTACATTAGATTTCATGGGTGGCCATCTATGTGTCTAGAATACACAGAGGATGGTTCTTGTGGTGTTAATTAAGCAATAATCGTAACTAGTCCTACTACAGCTTTCTATCCACAAGATGGCTCCTAGAGTATGCACATTTGAAAATGTTTGACTGACAGTCATCCAGTTTCCCTGCAGGACTTCCTGTGAAAAGAGAGGTCGAATAGACTTTGCATTGTTTTGGTTCATGGAACCCATCTATAAGCAAGTCACGCAGATGTCCCACATAGAAACCATTCCAAGATCACGTGGAACTGTGATTAAATTCTACTAGTGGTACTTTCACAAGAACAAGGAATAATAAAAAAGTAATGGCCTAGTCCTTGACAGACAACTCTTGAGTCACATCAGAATATTCTGAGCTGCTCATCTGGTGCACAGATAGGGAAACATGGAACCTTCCAAATGTTAACTGGAACGCCCACCCTTTCTTACCAATGACTATGGAGGTTAAGACTTATGAGAACTGTAGATCAACAACAACTGAAAGGCAACATGCTACACATTCCTGTTCTAGTCCAGGAGTGTGGTCACTTTGCTGGTTTGAAAGAAGAACCGCTGAAGAAAAGCATATGTTTTGGACTATTCTGGTAAATGACCTTTTCAGTCTTCATTTGTTAGGGATGAAACTAACATTTTTAAAAATGGTACCAACAATTCATTTGCAGTCAATGCGTATAATTCTACATCCTGCTACTGCTATATTATGCACAACTTCAGTCTGTCATTGTGTTCATTTATCTAAATGGTAACTTTCCAGGTGCTATCTTCTCTGTGATGTTATATAGACACAATCCAATAAGGAGCCAAGGATTCTAAGGCAACGACTGTTCCCCAAACATCTTAATTTAACCAACGATAAGGTTTTTAAAAAGCCTAAAATAAATTCATATAAATAAGCTTTCCTGCAAGCCATCAAGCAATTATTTTGTAAAATTAAAGGCATTATGAAAACTTTATTTTTAAAAAGAAAGTGCACCAGGCTATTGGCCCATATAGCCCTGTACTGTCTGAATGAAAAAAAAAACCTCTTTGGGTATTTGGAAGGAAATCCTTTTCAACTCCATCACAATATTTCAGGAACTTAATGTGGACTCTTCTATATATATTCAGACATAAATGCATGGTCCTCAGTATGATTTGGTTCCTCCCCACCTTGCAAAGAAACAAGCCAATGTGGCTATTCTAAAAGATTTCTGACCAGCCTAGGCACCTCCCATGAATACATTACAGTGTTGTACACATATAGTCATGTAAGATTAATTTGCTTTCCTGGTATCAGAAACATACATCATCATTTTACAACTTGAGATGCAAGTTTTATTGCTGCTCAGGTACATGAGGTATTGCCAATGAATGCAGAAGCCCCAGTTCCCCTTTTTAGGTAGGCAACATTTTTTCAGCAATTAGCCCTATAGCATTTTTAAAGAATTAACATTTTTGTTGCAGAGAATACTAGTAATTTTAGTGTAGGAAATTTAAAATGCAGTACTCAAAGGTCTTCCATAATCAAATCCCTTAATCTCTCCTGACAGAGTAGCTCTGACTATAATTAACTCCAGTGAAGTAATATCTATCAATAGAAGAGAAAATTAATTATACCAGACAGTGTTTGCATGGCCATTAGGAAAAATAAGTAATACTTTTACTCCCCTCATATTACTCTATGCTATTGAAACTAAGAGGCATAAAGATGGTGACGGGAGGGGGAAAATCAGGGATAGTGTGGACATCAGATTTTGTTCTCTTGCTGGCAATTTAGGACTTCCCCATAGTGGTAGCTTTTCAAGGCTAAATACTGGAGATGTGTAGTGCTGTAACAGTGCTAGCCATCTGCAGTAGCACCCCAAAAGTTCATTATGGCACTCTAAGAATAGTAATAGACTTCTGAGTTACATCTGCAAGTGATACAAAATTGATCTTGTAGGACCTTTGAGACTGAGAATTTGGTAGCATACGCTAAGTTTACTTCATCAAATGAATGGAGTGAAATGCCAAGGAACTGAATTTTACAGCTATGAATTAACAAAGGTCTGCTCCTTGACACTTCTCTCCATGCATCTGATTAAGTTGACTTAAGTCTATAAAAGCTTATGCAACTGGCTTCTTTTGCTCAGTCTCGTAAGTACTACAAGATCCCTCTGGATACTGGTCCAGACAAAAACAGCTATTTCTTTGAATCTAATGTGATGTCATATGGACACAATCCTATAAGGAGCCAAGGACTCAAAAGCAACCACTGTTCCTCAAGCATCTTGAGGGAATGCAGCACTTGCTGGCCTTGCAGTTATAATTTGCTCTCTGTTTTCAGAATGTCTCCTATTTGTTGGGAATTGCTGTTTGTCAGCAGTGGCAGCATGTGTACAAATGGTGTCAGGTGGGCAGAAAATTAACAAAAGATAGCAGGGCTAAGCACCATACCATATTATGTAAAAATAATAAGCCCAGTCATGTAGAAATACTTTAAGATAACTGTTCACAGAATTAATGGGGAAACAGATAACATTCTTAGTGCCAAATGTTCAGGTGCTTCAACAATCAGGCCCCTTGATTTGGCTTAAGAGAAAACTACCCTAAAATCTGCATTATATACCTAACAAATACATCACATTCTCATATCTCAATAACTAATTCTACCCATAATTTGTTGCTTAAGCCATGATTCGCATAACAGAGGTCACAAAAAATATGTGGCTTTTCTTCCCCATTTCTGGTTTGCTTCAGGTCTGCGTCTGCAATGCCCCTTTTATCAACTCTTGTTTTAGGATAAGCAGTGAGGAAACAAGTCAGGTACAAGCTGCAATTACTAGCTTAAGCACTATGGTGTTAACATACCGAAATTGGATAGTGAAAAATAAAAGACACATTCAATTAGTGGCTTGTTTGCACAGGGAACAAGCCAGAGGCAAACCATGTCTTACTATAAGGTGCAAGCAAAATTATAGCATATTGAGAGAGGAGGTAAACATCCAACTTACAGCATGAGGATATAGGTACGCTGATGGCCACGATGATCCATGCTATATCCACTTTGCTGAGACAAATTGTTGTCCTGTGTTGGGGCTTGTCCCCTTCTGTGACATGAGAAATGTTACCAGGCATACCAGGCTTCCGGGTTCCAGCTGGTACTAGTCTGTTTAGGAAGTTTCCTGTTGCTGTGGAAGGAGAACTTGGTAGCCATGTGGAGGACTCTGTGGAGAGTGAATTGCCTGGCAAGCTGGTGCTATGCTCAGAGGGATGCAGTGTGATAGGCATTCTATGACTAGGGCTTCCTGTTGTATAAAATGAAGAAACATTGGCATTTATGTCTGTTTGACCAGAATGACCAAGTGCTGTTGTTGTTGCTGCTGCTGATGTAGTACTTCCAGGACTAGACAATAAAGGTACCTGGTTTGTACTCGGGTTTGAGATGACCCAAGGGTTATTTTTGCTCAGAATATCCCAAATGCCATTCCGTGGGGTTTTGATAGGCACTGTCGTCATTTCAGGAGGTGCTGATGGGGCAGTCACTAGGACAGTGTTATCGGTTTCCTGTGTTACCAGTTTGGGCAAACTCCCCTTCTCTGTTTTGCTAAGGCCTTCCAAGATATCTCTGTGAAAAGAAGCATGTGAGTCTGTGGTTTTTACCGGCACTGTGCTGTTATGACTGCTGAGAGCTGTAGGCTGAGGCAGAAATTGATGATTTGGAGGCCAGTTCCTTGTGGTAGTAGAAGAATGCAGTTCTGTTTTTACATGAGGCTCTGTAAATTCTGTGGAATTGTCATTGACAGTCTGAAATGTTTTCCCTTTGGGGTAAATCTTTCCAGAAAACAAAACACTCTGATTGTATAAGTGGTAAGGTTCTTTATTGCCAATAGGATGGCTGCTGGTGGATACCTTGGGGACAACAGGAGAAGCAGAGGTCTCCACTGAGCTAGTGGAATGGAAGTTCACAAGAGTTGTTGTGGGTAAAGGTTTCGCTGTGTAATGGTCTTTATGTCCAGATGGTGTCCCCATAGCTGAGATATTGATAATGTCTGTCAGGAGGCCCCTAGATGATGTCACGCTGGGAGACAATACCTGAACAGCAAACACTACTTCTTCAGTCAGTGCCCAGATCAGTAGAATACCTGGAGAAAAACAAACAAGACAATGTGGAGTGAAAAACAACAAAATATGGACAATATCTGTAAAATCACAGAAGAGCATATCTAAAACTGAGGAAGGATAGCCAGTTAGACATTCTCCCCAAAACAGAAAATTCAATCCTGAAAAAGAGAACAAGAGGAACAAACAAACAAACAAAACATTATTGTGTGCCTTCAAGTCATTTCTGATTTATGGCAATCCTAAGGCAAATCTATCATGAGTTTTTCTTCAGAAGATTTATTTGGGAGAGCAGTTGGTTTTGCCTTCCCCTGATGCTGAGTGTGACTTGCCCAGGGTTGGTAGTGAATTTCCATGGCTGAGTGGGAACACTAGTCTTCTGAGTCATAGTCCATTGATGAAATAATGACAGCATACAGCCTCCTGTGTACATTTGAGTGTACGCACCAAGGCAAGCACAGAGGTTTCCATATGTTAACTTGTATTGATAGACACAAACTTAAATTCATTATTGTACTTTAAACCAGATGCTGGGAAATGTGACTCTCTGTATGCAGGTGGACTATAACATCAATTTCTTGAGCTATTGGCCATGCTGACTATGTGTTAATGAGTACTGAAGTCCTTTCATGACTATGAGGGCCACAAGCTGCCCATTCCAGTTTTAAACAGAAATATAATGTATCTTACCATTATGAGGAAACCTGTCTAGTTATTAACTACAGATTAGGAATGTGAAGAAGGCTCACACAGTTACTCGTTCTCAACAAGACAGGCTGATTTAAGACATCAAGGCAGTCTACAAGGATTTTGTTAACCTCAAAGTTTGCACATACAGACATGCTTTTTTCCATCAAGGTTTCAACAATTGGTTCCCATGATTTTGACAAAATGTCTCTGTACAAAATTCATATCCCCCCCCCCCTTTGTGAAGCATAGCACAAAAAAATGCAAAAAACCCCCCCAACTTTTTGGTCTGATTGACCAAAAAGTTGCAACAACCCACCTGATGCTTCTAATTTTGTGCAAAAATATTCTAATTCATAAGGACTGACATTCCAAATTTAGACAAGAAAATGCAACGCCTGAGTTCTCTCTCTTAGGATTCTTCATCTTTGAACTGAAATTGGAGCAGGGAATACTTCAAAGATGTACAAACTTTTTCCAAATAAGAGACTACCTTGTGTAATGCAAGTCACATAGTGAAGCAGAGGTGAAGGCCTCACATGATAGCTCTCTGCATTATGGACAGATTATTGGTACATTATATATCTTTGACTGTAAAATGCTATAACAGAATATGGAAATACTAATTATTAAGGGAATAATGTGTACTCCAAACATGTCATGCTACAACACCACAATGGTAAGCATAGCCAGTGCTTACCATTGGCTATGTTTGATGTGGATTATGAGATCTATAGGCTAGGTTTTGGAGGGCCAAGAGTTCCCTATGCCTTATATAAAAAGATTCCCATGTCCATTCTTATATGTATTATTTGCTAAGGCACATTGTTGATGTTTGTAAACATGCAGAGATAAAATATTATTAATTTTATCCCTTTCTTACTCCAGTAGGATTAGGGAAAATGTCCCTGGGAATCCTTTTTAAAATCCTCACAACAAATCAATGTAGATTAGTCTGTGTTAGAGGTTAATAGGTTCAAGGCTGTGCAGGACCTTTGGTGAAGAGGTAAGAGATCTAAACCTGAATTTCCTTGGCAACAAGTTTTCCACTTAATCCACTCTGACCCATTGATACACACAGTATCGTGTATAAGAAAATACTGACTTCAGTTGAACGCTAGCAAATGTATCTGTCTCTTAGGCTCCTGAACCCATTTTTCCACACCTAAGCAAATTAAAACGACAACAACAGTTGTAAGGACTATGTTCCAGTTTATAATGTTTGATTTTTAAAAAATGCACAGAAATGGACGAAAACTTACTGACAGAAAAAGTTTAATGGTACCTTAAAAAGAGCACATTGATTAAATATTGCTCCATACTTTTGTTTATTGTCACACACTTTTTTGGGTTTCCCATAAGACTCATGCTATTAAGAGCAGCCATTCCCACACATTTGTTGCTGATAACATTAACAGTCTGCTGCAAGATGAACATGAAATGGGGTTTTTATAAATTTTATTTATTTATTTATTTATTTGATGCATTTGTTGACCGCCGCTCTCAGCCCTAGGGCGACTCGCGGCGGTGTACAACATATAAAAACATTTTACAAAAAACACACAGTACATCAACAAGCCATAATTACACAATTAATCTAAATTATACTAACTAATCCGCACCGTCACAACATAGGAGCCTACCAGTCTCATAATCCATATTCCATTCCGATTGTCATTATCAGTTAGTCTGGCACTAGTTAAATGCCCTCTCGAAGAGCCAGGTCTTTAGGCTCTTCCGGAAAGCCATAAGAGAGGGCGCCTGTCTGATGTCAACAGGGAGGGTGTTCCACAGCCGGGGGGCCACCACTGAGAAGGCCCTCTCTCTCGTCCCCGCCAGACGTGCCTGTGAGGCAGGCGGGATCGAGAGAAGGGCCTCCCCAGACGATCTCAAGGCCCTCGTGGGCTCATAGGCCAAGATGCGGTCCGAAAGGTATTTTGGGCCGGAACCGTTTAGGGCTTTGTAGGATAACACCAGCACCTTAAATTGGGCCCGGTAGCAAATCGGCAGCCAGTGGAGCTGGGACAACAAGGGCGTTGTATGCTCCCTGCGTCCCGCTCCCGTTAGTAACATGGCTGCCGCGCGCTGAACTAGCTGAAGCTTCCGGGCCGTCTTCAAGGGCAGCCCCACGTAGAGAGCGTTGCAGTAGTCAAGGCGGGATGTGACCAGAGCGTGTACCACCGTGGCCAAGTCAGACTTCCCAAGGTACGGGCGCAGCTGGCGCACGAGCCTACGCAGTGCAAATGCTCCCCTGGTCACCCCTGAAACCTGGAGATCCAGGCTCAATGATGAATCCAGGGTCACACCCAAGCTGCGAACCTGTGTCTTCAGGGGGAGTGCGACCCCATCCAACACAGGCTGTAATCCAATACCCTGTTTGGCCTTGCGACTAACCAGGAGTACCTCTGTCTTGTCTGGATTCAATTTCAATTTGTTCGCCCCCATCCAGACCATTACAGCGGCCAGGCACCGGTTCAGGACCTCGACAAGTCCTGACAAAAGGACTTAAACAAGTCCTTTTATCATGATTCAACCTGCAGAAGATATAGTTGTCCCTCCTAATTTGCTGTAAATGCCCCTTGAACTTGCTTTATACTGGAATGGCTCCATTAAGGCATTTGAAAACTGGCACTAATGCTTATTTTGAAGTCTGAAAACATTTTTGGACTGCACACCATTGTCCATGCTATCTGAGAGTGTAAAAGTCAATTGTCCTTGCTCCAGGATTCAAACTTCAGGAAATTTACTTTTGGAATTACAAATCCCAGAATTCCAATCTGACTGGGGATTTGGAGTAACTCTTCGAAACTCTGCCCCAGATTATAGGAAGTAAGAGACAGACAAGCAAGAGGTAAACACAGGACAAGGAAGGCCATTAGTTAAAGCATATCCAGATGGCTCAAATAAATGAGAGGCATCATGCATGACAGTGGAAGGCAAAAGGCAAATAAACCATATGATCAAGCTAGAGGGAAAATTCCTTCACAGTGAAGCAAGTGGTTATCACCCGAGCATGAAAGCCAAGTACTGTATATACTGGAGTATAAGCCGACCCAAATATAAGCTGAGGCACCTAATTTTACAACAAAAAACTGGAAAAACTCGTGATAGCAGCTACTGGTAAATTTCAAAATAAAAATAGATTCCAAGAATACTACATTAATTAAGGTATCAGTAGGTAAAATGTTTTTGAATATTTACATAAAACTGTAATTTAAGATAAGACTGCCCAACTCTGATTAAACCATTGTTCTAACCTTCATCAATGTAAATGTGCTTACAACTCCTCCCAACAATAATAGAGTAAAATAATAAATGTAACAACAACAACAATACTACTAATAGAGTAAAATAATGGAAATGTAATAATAACAGTAATAAATAGAGTAAAATAAATGTAATAATGACATTAAACAGGGTAAAATAATAAATGTAATAATAGCAATAATGATAATAATATAATAATAATAATAGCAGAGTAATATAATAAATAACCTTGACACGAGTATAAGTCGAGGGGGGACTTTTCCAGTCTAAAAAAGGGCTAAAAACTAGGCTTATACTCGAGTATATACAGTATATCTCCTAAGCCTCCTCCAATGGAAAGTCTTCTCAGCTCTGCAGCACATGCACATAGACTGAGGCCCCACCTACACTGACCACTTCATGCAGTTTGAAGCTAGCTTTAAATTGAATAGACTGAACAACAAATTTCCATAAAAGTGTGTGAAATAAACCTCTGTAGTTTGGGTAATTACCATTCTGCACAGAGAAACAACTTTTTTCAATACTGGTTTAAAACTGAATTAAATGGGGCTCAAAACTACATCTCTATTCTCGGATATCAGTGAGAAATGAATGGAGATTTCTAAAATCTTAGCAAAACATTTGACTACCTGACGTCAGAAAGAAACTACTTTATAGTATCCATTTTCTACAGAAGCTACAGGATACTTTAAAGGTGTCCTTTTGTAACCCTTCAGATGAGTTTGACCACCAGCATGGAATAATTAAGAATTGCACTGCATTACATCCAGAGGATAACTGGTTGGGGAAGACAGCTTTGGAGAGCTTCTTTTTTTTAGGACCAGTTCCCATTAGACCAGTGGTTTATCATAACAAAGCAACTCCCTTACTGTTATGAGAGCTAACTGTGCAATCTATCCAACCCTATCTGACACACACACACAAAAACTTGTGCTCCAAAGAACATTTGCAGTATGTCAAAGAGAAGGCCTGGTACATATAACAATTGAGAAGGACAGTAACAATAAAAGATAAAACAACATTGGTTTATTAATTCAAGAAGTGTTTTTACATTTTTATGCCACACATC